TTCAACTTGTAATCATTAAAAATTTAACTATTTTGGAGGTAAAGTTATAGAGTGAATTTTACTTCTTTTAAAGTTGTAAAATGGCAATTTTTTGGAAAGGTGCTACAGGGTAGGCTCAGGGACAGTATTGGTGACAAAATCTCGGAAGACCAAAGCGGATTCACACCGGGGAAATCTTGCACAGATAACCTTTTTGTCCTGCAGCAGGTGTTGGAAAAAAAGATAGCAGTAGATCAAGAAGTCCATCTAGCATTTATTGATTTGGAGAAAGCGTACGACTCTATTCCCCGCAGCAAGATATGGGAAGTATTGAATATCTTAGAAGTAGATAGACCTTTGCTTAAGATAATAAAAGAGCTATATAAAGAAAATGAATCGTACGTTAAGATAGGACACAGGCTATCTAATCCAATTAACACCACAAAATGGTTGCGACAAGGATGCAGCTTATCTCCTCTGTCTTCAACGCTTACGTCGAAGTAGTCCTTAGGGAATGGAAGACGAAATGTCAAGGTATGGGAATACCCATTGAGGACAACACACTATTTACCCTGAGCTTTGCAGACGATCAGGTCGTGATTGCGCAGTACTCATACGATCTAGAGTTCATGACTAAGAGGCTTTATCAAGAATACAACAAATGGGGACTTCAGGTTAGTCTAAAGAAGACCGAATACTTAGCTGTCAATTCCAATGCTTGTTTTGAAGTCTTCATTAATGATAACGTCCAGACTCAACAAGTAGACAAATTTAAATACCTGGGTGCTACTATCAACAACGAGGGTTTGGGCAAAGTAGAAATACAAACCCGAATTCAGAAGAGCAAACAAGTTATTGGATGTCTTAACAGCCTCTGATGGGACCGAAACTTGTTTGCAACAACTAAAAAGAGACTTGGAAGAACATTGGTGGAGTCAGTTCTTTGCTATGGTTCAGAGCTATGGACTCTGAGTGCAGACGCGAAGCGCAAAATCCAAGTTGTTGAAATGGACTACCTTAGAAAGAAGTGCAGGTATATCTAGGATGGAAAAAAGACAAAGACATCGAGGTCAGGCGTATCATGAATGCATCGGAGGAGACAGTACTGGATCGAATCGAAAAATCCAGCTTAAAATGGTTTGGACATGTTCTGCGTATGCCGGAGAACAGGTGGCCAAAAAGAGTTTTCAATGGGCTCCCCAGGGCAGAAGAAAGAGAGGTAGACCTAGAAAATCCTGGAACGGAACAGTTACGGAAGCAATGGAAGCTCGTAACCTAGAAGCTGATGACGCTCTAAATCGAGTGTGGCGCAGGGTAACGGGAGGCAGCAATAGGCTGTAGTTGGAAATGAGTATTAAATACTTAAACCAAATCCGTTTATATATATATATATATATATATATATATATATATATATATATATATATATATATATATATATATATATATATATATATATATATATATATATATATATATATATATATATATATATAAAGTTGTAAAATAAATTAACATGAGCACACATTAAAAAACTATTTTTTTTCTTAATATAATAATTATTTTGTCCTAATTTATACAGTGTATGCCTTAAATAAGTGGAAATACTTTCATGGCATCTCTTTGCTTTTTACAAATAAGTCCAAAATAGTCGAGAAATAAAAACTAACTTCTTGCTTAAATTTTGAAAAGTATTTTAACAAAATGAAGAAAATGAAGAATCCCCAAAATGAAGCATTTTAGGATATAAATTTGAAAAGAACTTTTTTACTGATTTTTATCTGTAGAGTATGTAGAGATAACTTTTTTACAGTTTTTTATTTGTAGAGTATGAGACCGCTCTGTATAGCTGGATAAAAAATCAGGGATGCATTTTTTTTTTCGCATTTGGACATTACTGTTGAAACTACAGTCTGTTGTATCGCAGACTTGAACATAGGAAATCCCATGTAAATTTAAAAAATTATGAATTAGTTTTACCCATTTTATTTTACAGAAAAAAATATTTGAAATTTTTTGAAGAACTCCTTAACTTTGTTAATTTTCAATAGGTTCTACGAATTCTCTTTAGAGTTACAAGATATAAAAAATACTAAATTAATTGAAAAAATAATCCGGCCCTTGATTGGAATAACAAACATACCACCTTCAAATTTTTTTATGTCAAATTGGCGTTATTTTTGCCAACAATGGCTGTATTCCGTTGCAAAACCAGGCGAATCAAACTGGTAAACTACGGTAAAGAGTGGTTCCTGAAAAACATCGGTTTGATACAAGGACTGTATATATTCTAAAGGACCGATCGTGTCAAATCGCCGCTGTCGAGTTGCCGTGGAATACTACGTCACGCGCTGACCAGCGCTCCACAGTGCGGCGGATGGTTATTCTAGCGGGACAAAATCTCAAGAGCAATGTTTGGGACTTAAAATCTAAGAACGTAGCAAATGGTCTAATATATAGCAACTATATGGTTAAATTTATTTATTTATTAACAACTTAATTTATTAATAAATAAATACAAGATAATAAAACTATGATATTATTCGAACATGACACACAAACAAAACCGTATTGTAAACTATTGCCAAATACATAAAATTATGATATCAAAAAACTCTTTAGCAGTTTTTTTTTTAATTAATTTGTAATCTTGTGACACCCTCTATAATTTATTTTAAAAAAATATATTTTATTTTGAAAATAATAAATAAGATAGATATTTTAATTTTAATTTTAACACTCGGTAATTGTAAATTCATATATAGTAAGTATCTAAGACAATTTTTTAAACTCAGTGCCTTTTGATGGAGTTGTTTTATTTTTATACTATCCGATTGAAATGAATCTTTTTGGGCATTCACCTGTTAAGCTTGAACTCCCTGTGACTGTAACTACCTGTGTTGGTAACTATTGGAAACTCAAAAGATCTACATCATTCGATATATCGATATTTGAAAAAAAAGTGAAAGTTTGATATCTGCAGAACAAAGGCACGAAGGATTTTAACAAATAATATACATACAGTAGAAAAGTACATACCTTTGGTAATCTTCAACATAATTTAGCTTTCTAATAAAATGTATAAGCACTTGTAAATATTTTGTTTTCGTATGATCTCTGCCTTGCTGAGCAGAAAACGACCAAATTTGGTTGATAAAAATATATCGAAATACAAAGAATATTCATGCATTTTTGTATCAATTGGAATGTCTACTATTTAGTCTTATCAGCTTTTTTGGCTTATTTCTAACCAAACGCTTTTGTCCCGCTAAATTTATCTTCCAACGCACTGTGCGCTCGTCTGTCAAATGCAAAAATAACCGCAAAAATAATAATTTATGAAATTCACTTAAATTAACTAAATTATATATTTTTCTTGCATTTTAGCTTTTATTTATTACATGTCAAAGATTAGATGTCAAAGAATTTAGATACGTTAATTTGACTTACTTTCTTCAGTAGCGTATCGGATGTTTGTGTTAATAAATACTTATTATAACTTATCTATTTTTATTAGAATTATATATTTTAATAACAATTTTAATAACTACCAACATTTATTCACAACGTAAAATAAAACAACAAATTATTGAGTCTACCCCACGTCTACCCTACATCATAGTTTTACATTTTTTAAATAAAATTAGAACGACACTGATAAACCGGAATTTAAGTCGGCCATATTTGAGGCCCATCGCGGTGTACCTAAGATTTTTGATATACTCCTTCCTTAGTCTTCTTATTCAAAGACATTTGACTATTAAATACCTGAGAAATTGCGATGCTGCCAATATGTGCTCAACGCGTATCCAGAAAACGATTTGCACGGCAACGAGAATACCATAATCGACTGCTTTGCGTTCCGCTGATCGTATACTTAACCCGTAACGTTTTTATGTCAAAGTTACAGAATTCGGACACAGATCTGTAGAAGAAAATCTTCATAGATTTGTTATATTGTGACATAACTTGTCAAGATTGATCAAGACCGGATTATTTGAAATTTTTGCCTAATAAAATAAAGTATCTCTCATAACTCAAAAACAAGTTCCTATAACTTACTGAAAATAAAGATTTGCTTCATTTTTATTAAAATTAGCATGGGATTTCCTATACCAAATGTGTCTCAAAAGTGGCTCACCCATATAACTATTTTATTTTTTCAGATAAAAAGAACGAGATTTGGTATGTTAGTGTATGACATAAATTAGGATTTATTGACGTATTTAATTGTTTTCGGTCACATCCTGTTTCACCGGAAATGATTAAAACTATTGATTTTTACATGGTACCCTCGGTATTTTTTTACTTCATTCGATAGAAAATGACATTCTGAATGGAATGACATATCATATGTCAAATTTTGACATTCTCGCTTAACAAAAAATCGTATTTTAAATTTCAATCTAGAGTGCCATGGCTATGTTAAAAACACTATGTCTTAATCAAGGAGCCTTGGAAAAATAAATTTGATCGCCTAATGTTTTTAGTGTCTTGTCCTGGCAAGTTAGAAAATGCCCAAATCGTATTTTCAATCATATCTCAATTTTTACAAATGGAACGACGGTGGCTCATTAGCATATTTGGAAAAAGCATTTTTTTACGAATAATTTGATACCACACACTTGGTATTTCGAGTCAAATTTTCGTTACGAACCGCAAGTTATAAATTCAAATAAACCATAAGCGAAAATGTTAAAAGTTGACGTATGATATGCCATTTTATTCAGAGTGTTATTTTCTATCGAATAAAGTAAAAAAATACAGAGGGTGGCGTTTAAAAATCAAAAGAAACAGGAAGTGACCGAAAACAATTGAATACGTCAATCAATCCTAATTTATGTCATATACTAACATACCAAATCTCGTTTTTTAACTAAAAAAATAAAAAAGTTATAGCGGTGAGCCACTTTTGAGACGCACCCGGTAATGTTGAGGTCGACGACTATACCAAAAAAAATATGTCATAAGTATTATTCGCCCATTTTAAAACATGTTCAAGCAACAAAATAAAGGTATACCTTTACTCGTTTACTGGTTCAGATTTTACTGTCCTAAAAACATAATTTTCTTAAAAGCTTTCCGGAATTCCGGATTGAAAATGGTGTAGATGACGGGATTGACGAAGCTGTTCATGTAGCCGAGCCACGTGGTCAGCAGGAACGCCGACACGCCCGGATTGCACGGAAACTTCAGTTTGCTACACATGGCGTCCAGGATGTTGCAGGTGAAGAACGGCACCCAGCAGATCAGGAACACTCCTGGAAACGAAAATTTATATATCGTTAGGCAGTACTGGAATAAGTTAATAAATATATACAGTATCACAGATAAAGTCCTTAAAAAAAATTCCAACTTGCCCTCGGGTATGTATCAAATTTGACATTTACCCATAGACAAACAAATAAAAAGAGACTGGCAAATTAAATGGCAAAGAGAGGGACAACGTTCCCGTAGCGCAACTCAGAACGCAAAATTTCGTTCTATTTATGTTGATCTGCGCATTGCGTCTATTGGGCCCACTATCTCATTCTAATATATCAAGAAAGAAAGAAGCAGCCATATAAAACGTAATTCCTAAATAGAAATTAGAACAATCGCCTTTCGTCATCATGACAACATCATGACAATTCGTCATGTTTGTTAATTTTTCTTTTGGTGATTTACCTTTTCTTCTAAACTCTCCATTTTATTGACTTATGAATATGGATGGGGAACAAATTCCTTTGTTCCATATAGGTATTTATATTTTGTATATATAATTTTCGGTTATACTATTTGTTATTTTATTTGCTGCAGGTGCTATCATCTATTTTCTATATGTATTGGTGCCCCCTGTCTCTGATAGATATGTTAAAGACACCCGGTAAAATAAAAGTAAGCAGTTATATTTATTATCTTATTAAGAAAAAAGTAGAAGCAGTAGTGTCAAAAATATTTCGAACCTCTCTTAACCTAACAAATTAATACAATTATTTTTTTTATTTTATTGTTTTAGGATTAAAACTGGACTTGAAAATGGTTCAGGATCATGATTCTCGTAAAGTCTTCTTTGCTTTGATATTCACTTTGTTATTGGAATTAGGTAGTTTTTTCGAAAATGAAATTTTTAATGCCCTTTAAAAAAATTGGCCGATTGTTTCCTGCAACAGTCAGTTCTTCTGCATTTAAAATTGGTAGGTGGGTGGAATAAACACTGTTATTTTTTGTAATTATATTATTAAAAGTTCATTTATCTTTATGTATAAATAAATATGTTTATAAAACAGTACAATTTATGCTTTTTTTTATAATTTCCCTTATAATAGTAGTATTCTTTCGTTCTGAAAGAAACTGCAAATTTTCACTTAAACTGATTTATTCTCTACACCACGTTCCCTTTACGTGGTATAGGGAATAAATCAGTTTAAGTGAAAATTTGCAGTTTCAGAATGAAAGAATACTATTAATAATGGCTAATTTAAATTTTCCGCCAGCCAGAAGCACACATAATAAAGAAAGATAACAATAAAGACGTACGTCCTGCCATGGTCCTGCAAATTGGTTTCAAAATTGTTATTCTGAGTTGCGCTACGGGAACGCGGTCCCACTCTTTACCATGAGATTTTTCAGTCTTCTTTGTCTCTACTTTATTTGATAAAGTTTTCTTTTTAATCATGAACAAGCGTACCAATTTTGAGTCAACTAGATTGAAAATAAAATGTCGTAATTTTTAATACTAATTTTAATAACAATTAATAATAGCAGCCGATTTCGTTGAAGAAGCCAAAACAATAATTGATGTTAGTCTGTTTATTAGTCAAATATTTTTATCTAGTGGTCTTATATTAAGTCAAATTTATTGAATCTGCTAACAGTTTTTGAAGCAAAATAAATTTGGTTGTAAAAATTATATATACCATAAATATAATGCAATTTTAACTCTATAAAAAAGTGCAAGACTTGCGGGAGGCTTGCAGAAAGACTATGGCCAAGCAAGGTCAAGCTTGGTCCTGCAAGACCAAGACCAAGAATACTTATTACACTGCACAGAGCAAGACTCACTTAGTCTTTGCATTTGCTCATCACTATCCAGTTCTCTGATATACTCGTAGATGTTAGCATCTTCATGATACAGGTACCTATAAGTTTACTGATTGAAATAATGAAATTTATGTTTATATATTAATATTGTTGCGGGCCGGTGTGGACTCGACCTAACCTCACAATATGGCCCGCCCTCGGATGACCTTAACATCGCATAGACACCGCAATGATTCATTCGTTCGAGAAGAATCGAGTCCCACTGGAATGGACTAGTACATACGAGAACATTCGAAAACCTTCTCTACGCACCTAACGATCTATGGACAATTCTAGAGTTCTTTACCTGTCGGTATAAAAGCCGGCGGCGGTGGCCTACAGGGGGCAGTTATAAATATACCAGTGCAGTTGACGCGCTAAAATTCAAAATAAATTCTTAGTTATAAATCGTTTGTAAATAGTTCTATAAGTCTTTTATCGTTATTGTTTTTGTTAATTAGTGTTAAATAAATAGTGTTTAAATAAATTGGGACTTTCTATCCACACGGAACCGACGAAAAACGTAACAATATTCTGGCTGCTGTATATCTCTTAATTATTAAATATGAAAGTTTTTCAGTTGAATTAATATTACTTTTCTGATTAAATTATTATCTTAAGAAATCCGTCAGTAGCAGCATTTGCAGGTATTCGCAAGTCAAGTTCAAGTTTTATGACGTTAAAAGCTGCAAAGTCGAAATACTATTAAAACGTAATTAAATTTTAGCATAAATAAGTGCTTTTACTGAATTTAGTCAAGCGTTATACCTACTATTTCTATTGCACTATATTTAATTAGTTCTGAAATATTTGATGAAAGTATTGCGAATATTTCATTATTAACTTGACCTTTCCAATTAATATAAGTTTCTTTCAGTTCACACTTCATAACGATTAGTGATACTTATTGTGATCGAAATATTGTGTAAGGAAAATAAATAAAGACAATGGAAGTCCGAAATTCTTTTAATTTTAATAATAGTTTCTGTTAATCTTTGCCCTATAAATTAATTTGAAAATGTAATATCTCTGTTAATATAGATATATTTTTCATTAAGAAAACACGTCTGGTCTATATTTCCAATTTTGACGACATCGTACTCGCAATTAAAAATAAAGCAGAAGCCTTTCATAAAGATTGCTTAAAGAGGGTTGTTAAATTTCCTAAGGGAATTATGGTTTGGGGTTGCATGTCAGCAAGAGGTTTGGGCAAATTAAATTTTATAGATGGCACTGTTAACGCCCAAAAATATCAATATATTCTTGAGACCTCACTTTTGCCTAGTGCTCAAGAATTGTTTCCAAACGAAGACTATATTTTTCAACAAGATGGAGCATCGTGCCATTAAGCAAGATCAACTAAAAATTGGTTCGGTAATAATGATATAAAAGTTCTATCCCATCAATTCCATTATTTAAGAAACCACCCTCAACGAACAATTTTTGTTTTGCGGACAAAACTGCAGGAAATTTGGGATAATTTTTCTCCTCAAATGTGCCAATCTTTGGTAAATACAATGCCATTAACAGTTCAGGCAATTGCTAAGGCGAAAGATGATGTAACTCCGTATTAAACAAATTTCTTTTTGTGCTGTCCCAATATATAGTTGTGAGCAAATTTGGCTTGATTTTGTCAAAATAAGCTATTATCAAAAGCGATTTGTTTGCAAAGTTATAAAAATATAGTAAAATTGTCTAGATCATACTGTGATGTTTGAATTCAGAATAATAAACAAAATAAATTGAGTCGTTTTAACAAATTACTATTTTTATTGCAAAAAAAGACCTTATACAATGACATATAGTTGTTAGGGCTCGTATCTTTCTTTGTTGAGCTATCAAGAAAAATGTATCCACAATTTATGACAAAATTGATTTAAGATGAGTACAAGAACAAATTGACAAAACATAGCTTCAAACTTCAAAGGATATCATTAAAAAATCGAAAGTTGTAGTAATTTCCGGTGAAACAGGAAGTGACCAAATACTATTGAATACGTCAATCAATTCTAATTTATATCATATACTAACCTACCAAATCTCGTTTTTTATACTCTTTTTTTGAGACGCACCTGGTATATGATACGCAAGACTTTTTTTTGAATGTAACAAATAGACAAAGTAAATTCTCGTGAAAGCTGGTATCTCAAATCCATAGAAGCCTGGCTTTAAATTTGTGACGATTATAGAAGACAATCGCAATAGCATTAACCGCATGGCCAAAACAGATTTAACGCAAGATAAACAACGACCAGTGGCGGAAAATAACGTCCGTCCAGTCTGCTCCCTCAAAACCGCAACGGTCCAGCAAATTTGATTCGTTTTCACGCACGCTGGTTTTCTCTATGGAAAAATTATTTTTCGTATGGGAATATAAAGGAAAAACTGGAGATGGTTTTAGGATAAGTCCAGAATAAAGTGGTTCAGAATAACTGACATAAAAAGATATTTCTATTAGATAAAATGACATTAAAAACTAACCGTCAAAGTTGGGCGTCCACTCGTAGGTTTTTATTGTTGACAATCGACACGTCCACAGCACGGCGTCTATGAAGCAAATGTTGACAATACCTACACACTGAATTGTTGAATGTCGAAAATGCCACAAGCGCAGGTTTGAGATTTATTAGAAGGAGCGTGATTAATTTCTCCCCTCCCCCCTTTTGACTGATTAATAATTACCCATTTTTCGGGATATTTTTGGTTGTTTAGTTTGGCTTAGCTTCAACATTTATTCTTCATTATTATACAGGGTCCGGCAATAGTGCATCGAACATCTGTAGCTCCTAGAATAAAAAACTTGAGAATTTTGTTTAAGTGCTAAACTTAAGGTATGTACCAGAACATATTTCAGAAAAATATTTTATCTTCTATAGGGTGTATATAGGTGATATATAGTTTTTTTTTGGATGGGAGATCCTCAAAACAATAACAATTTGCTACGTATAAAAAATAAATCATAGAGCTAAGCCAGGGAGCTCAGTTGATAAATTCCTCAATCGCGTATACTATGCTCGAGATTTCACGTGGCTAAATTACAAGCAATATTTTATAGTCGAGTATTGCTTTGCCGAAAACTAAAAAACTGGCTATTCTTCTTTTTGAATTATTTCCGTAATATATATTTTTCCTTCAAAATGTAATATATTATAGGTCTTACTCGTATATTAAGATGATAATCGTAAACAAAATATTTATA